CAAGATGCATACAACACTTCCGTACATAAGGTGATGTGAAATTGGCATCGAAGAGGTTTTGTTTATAAAACTTTTCTCTCAACTCGGTTTACCGAATAGTTTGAAACGTTACAACGTGAATAGGGAGACTATAAGGGAGGTCCTGAAACTCATGAAATTTCAATTACTTTCAAATTTGTTTATGGGTATTTAAAAAATAGTTTATAAGAAAGGAAATTTCCCGAGTTTCAGGACCTACCTTAGGGTCTCCATATTCACGTTTTAAAGTATGAAACGATTTGAGACACCCAGTTCGTAGATAAGTTTTACGAACGATTGAGCTTTCGGATGCCACTTTCACACCTCCTTAACAATAAAATATAAAAGAAAGGAAAATCCAAATTAACAGGACTCGTTCGCGCTACAAATCGGTACGTCCATTACTTATCACTTTTTTCGCGTTCCCAGCATATTTTCGGTAAAAAAAAATGTTTCTAGGTGGCCAATCGGTGGTAAACCTTCGCTTTGAAGGATATCTTGGCAGCGAGCGATCGGAAAAATTAGTATTGTTACAAATGTCCGCCCTTTGAAGTGTCGCCCGAGGTAAGTCCATTCAGCCACGTGGAAGCCCGTCATTTCGGACAAGAAGGGAAAAAGTAAGATTTAAAGAGAGTAAAGAACTGTGCAAATGTCACTTCTCCCTTTCGCTCGATTCCCTCGGCCTTTGCTTCCCACCTCGGAAACGCATTTTCCACATTCGATCTGCGTAACTCCGTGCACGTACAAAGTACACGCGCATGCCCTTTGGGCATGTACGTGCGCCTACGTAAGCATAACCAATCCCTCGAGGGGACACCTAGAAGGAATTCGATGGAAACGGCAAAGAAATTGCATTTTCCACGGAGATGCTTTAATCTCGGATTTCGCTAACCAGTCCCCACCTTCGGTGCTAAGAATGAGAGGAAAGAACTCCGGGAAACGTTACACCGGAAACCGGCTTAATGAAATACTTTGAGAACCTTTGCCCCGCTCCCCGGGTAATTAGGTTTGTATTTCAGATCCGATCATTTAATCTCGTATTTCCGGCTAAACCGAATAGGAATTACGAGGAGAGATTCTGAACACAGAGGGATATCCGTGGGAAAAAATTCAAATTAACTCATCATTTCCGATTTTGATATAGTCTGGTTGACGGTGATGAGTTCTAGTAGAAACGCCTCAGTTGGGTCAGCCTGGATTCTTTGAAGGCGAAGTAAAGTGTCCTTAATTAAATCATGAATTGGATAATTCTCAATCAGGATGATATTTCGGGCCTGAATCTAGAATTCTGAAACTTATTCCTCCTTAACACATTCGCGACCGGCAAATGTTTTCCATTTCAAATACTGAGTACTGGCGAAAATAATGAAATTCTGAAACTGGTTGCCGCAAACTTATATCGTGTATCGTCGTGGACGTGATTCACATCAGCGGCAATCAGGAGTAGAATTTAAAATGACGTGAATTCACGTCAGCGGCAAACAGGAATAGAACTCGAAAAGACGTGAATTCCCGTCAGCGGTCGCGAATGTGTTAATATCCTTATGGATTGCATTAATGATATGGTTGTTAGACTTGTTACGAGGTAAATTTTACAATACTCTGTAAGTATGTAAGTGCCTCGTTACACTACAGAGACAGTGACTATACTGGGGAATTTATTTTTCGAAACTCGCGATACAAAATGGGGAATATATACGTTTGAATGTTACTGCAAAACCGTGTTAACGTACTTCGCCCAGAACACTGCAATTTTACTATTAAAAAATAATAATTCAATCGCAAAAATGTTTAGCAACAATTGTCAGTTTTATACCATAACACATTCGCGACCGGAAAATTTTTTCCGTTTCAATTACTGAATACCGGCGAAAATAATGAAATTCTGAAACTGGTTGCTGCAAACTTGTATCGTGTATCGTTATGGACGTGATTCACGTCAGCGATCACGAATGTGTTAAGATACGTGAAATTCTTAAAATGTAGAATTTTTAACGTGGGCGAGATCGTTTTTGTCAATGGGAAAACTCTTGCTTGAAAAAAAGTGCAGGGTAGGATGTATTTAGACACGCACGATTTACCCGGTCTTCGTGAAAGGGATTTATTCATACGGGGGCATGCAGAGCCGCGTAATGAAGAGATCGTAAATTTCAATATCGGCCTATAAGTCATTTCCACAGGGTGGCGGTTGAAAGTGCAACAAAACCGAAATCTCGTTGCAGGTGATTTACGATCGGATGCAATTGCATCACGTGGGGGTGCGTTCGGAGTCGCGGTATCCACGGGGTCTGTTAATTCTCAGATTCCTCTGGATTCCCTGAATTCTCTGAACAAACGAATTCTCGACCTCGTTCCGAGCTGTTGCACCAGTAAATGCAGTCGCGGACAGCAATCGGTGCATATTAATCGTCCATCAAGAGTTGTCGATGTCGTCGGTCAGCGAAACCGGCACTTCAAAGACACGATATAAACGCGGGAAAAAGTCGGAACGAATAAAAGTGATTTATTTGCCGAATGCATGCATGCACATACAATCGAGATACTCCCCAAACATGTCGTTGGGCGTCACTTCGAAACGTTAAACAACGATCTCTCATCCCTGCAGCATCCTGAACGCCAGTCGTGCAGTTAGGGACATAAATCGTGACTGAAAATTTTCCTGGATTTTTCCGAATTTTCAGGATATTATTTAGCACGTCTTGAGGAAATTTGTGGAATTTTGTGACCTTGTTACACATTCAATTGACCTAATCACTTGTAATTAAACTAGACCGCGTTCCGAGGAGCATGATTTGGTCAGGGCCAAATGCGATTAGCATAATGCCAAAACGGAATAGGTACGAATTTCGCATGCAGATGGGTTCTTCAGATTGCTGCTGAAATCTATGCGCCGAAGGCATGACATTAAATCTACCCAATGGTAATTGCAAACCACACCCTCGTACGAGCAACAAGTAAATCGCCCCCGATTCCGCGAACACCATTAGCACGAGAAAAACATTCAACAAGGTGGAACGTGGAAGTGTAAACCGTCTATTGGTGTAAATGGATTTACTTTGAATTAATTTTATACTAAATGTAGCCTTAAGAGGATTTTACACCTCTTCATTTTTGCTGGAAGATGATTCACAGTTTCCCGGAGAAATGCGTTATTCCACGACCAAATGAAAATTCGTTTACAGAATAGCAGATAACATGACCTCATATCATTGGAAGTACTATATTTAAGCCATAGAAATTGAAAGAAGAAAATTACAAATATCATCACCTTCCAAATGATACGTTAATTGAGATAATTTATGCGTTTGCATGTTCGCCACCTGAGTGCGGTGAGTAATCTATAAGTTCGGAATATATTTTCTAATTATCAGATGATATTCATCAGGTAAACCTAAATTTCATGATTAGTTATGTTTGCAATTTTTACCCATATCTTGCTTGAAATGGGAGATGTTTGATAAACGAATACACGGAATGCAAATGTTGTATCTAAATCGTCAAATTATTTGCCAAGGACAAAGATAAGTAAAGAACGAAGGAAAATCTCATTTTTAAATTAATACATTGGAAAATCGAAATTATGAGAAACTCGACTGCGTTTAGAATTATCCATTAAAAAAAATTCGAGGGTGTCGAGAAAAATGTTCGCCGAGTGTACATCTAGTGTAAATTCATTTCAGGAAGTTCCTCTCGGTAATGAAGTTCTCCGAAGAGGGGGGCCTCGTCGGAACCGCATAAATGGGTGCCTAATTACTCAAACGCATTTACGCATCGCACATGTGCCGAAACACATGCGCGACGACGAGTTTAATTTGCTCGTCTGCGGTTTAAGCACCTTGTACCCTGGTTCAGGTACGTTTCAGTTAGCACGCCGTTTGAGAACCAACTTCAATACGAGCCAAAAGTTCCGCTTACTCGGCCTCTAGAGTTTCGCAAATAAAGCCGAGCCCCCTGCTCGGTGTCAACAATAACAATGACATTTTCCACCACTTCGCCCAGCTGACAGCGAGCGAGCGCGGGGAAAGAACTCGTACCGAAGTTGGCTCTGTACTTGACTTCGAAGTGGTTTAACTGAAGTGTTGCGGGCGAGGTACGTCAACAACGGTTTTGCAATAACATTCAAACGCGTATATTCTCCATTTTGTATCGGGAGTTTAGAAAAATAAATTCTTCAGTATAGTCATTGTCTCTATAGTGTAACGAGGCACTTACATACAGAATATCATAAAATTTATCTCGTAACAAGTCTAACCACCATATCATTAATGCAAGCCATGAGAATATTAACACATTCGCGGCCGCTGACGTGAATTAACGTCATTTTAAATTTTATTCCTGATTGCCGCTGACGTGAATCACGTCCATAACGATACACGATACAAGTTTGCGGCAATCAGTTTCAGAATTTTATTATTTTCGCCGGTACTCAGTATTTGAAACGGAAAAAATTTGCCGGTCGCGAATGTGTAATAGTATAAAAGTGACAATTGTTGCTAAACACTTTTGCGATTGATTAATTTTTTTGGGTACACCTAACCTCCACATTATGGATGAAGATCATAAGGAGGTTGAGATATAAAAGTGGTAACTGTTACCATGCCCTTTTGAATACCTGCACATACACCGAGGAAAAAGATTAGTTGACTGAAATATATATCATCGCCTCATACGTTGTTGCTTGTACCATATATAACAGCAAGCAACAATTATTTCGTAGTGAAGAAAAATTGACGTTGATTTACACGAATCATTCTTGATTTAAAATAATTTTATTTCCTCAATTCTTCGGATGTATTTGATAGATTTTGATTTTGTTGTCGCAATGTATATTGTTTAGGGCCAGCCAACCTTTTATTCTTAGGGTATAGCCTCGTGATAATCCAACAGCAGAGACTTAATCTGTTGATAGTCAAAGATGCATCAATTAACTTTTTCATTCCGATAATGATAGTGGTATCAATTCAGACGGGAACGTCACCAACCTCCGCACGCTTCCTTGAAGTCGTTGCAGCAGTCGCCGAGCTTCAGACACGCGTGGTCGCAGTAGCACGGCTTGTCGGTGAGCGCCTGTATAATGGCATTCGGGGACGTCTTCTGCACGACGCAGGCCGAATCCCTTCCGGGGCAGCAGAGCTTGGCCTCGCCGCAGCTTCCGGCGAACGCGACTTCCGGGAGCGCAGCCATCACCGACGCCAGAGCCGCCATGAGCGCGAGTCCGTTCCGACCCATCGCTACGAACTCTTTTCCACCCTTCGACTCGTCCCGCTTCCCGCCTTTTCGCTCTTCTCTCTCCCTAATCTCCAGCACAGCAGTTCGACCAGGATTCGAAAACTTCTTCAAAACTGACACGTATATCCCCAAGAACAATTGATATACGTATACGAACTCGTAGGAAGTCGAGCGTGAGTTCTGCGATACCTGCGCTACGTCCGCCGAGACCGGAAGGCCCCAGAAGAGAACTCGGGAATGGCTTCCATTCGCGACTCGATATATACCGGAATATACCCCGTCACTCGCTTTCGCGATTAACCGACTTATTAATCAAAGGGTCTAGATCTCGATTCAAATGAGTTTCGGCGTGGATGCCGCCTCCCCGGGCTGATCCGCGCGGATGCGCGTCGATCCTCGTCGATCCTTGTCGAAGCCTGTCAAAGCCTGTCGGAGCCTGTCGGAGCGCGCTTCGGCGGCCAAGGTCGGTGGATGCCGGTGTTGGCCCGCTCGCGTCTGGGACCCTCCTGCGCTCGCCGGCGGACGGTTCGGATGTCTTTGGGTACACCTCCGCTACGCGAAGGCGCTACGCGATGCGACTGCGGCGGCTCGATCGGCGGAGGAGCGCCGAAGGCTGGATCTTCCCCGCGGAACCGACTCTCGTCCCCACCACCTGGCACGCACCGTCGAGAACCCCGTCCGCTTGCCGTGCGCCGGGAGCAGACGACTGCGGCGCACCTTTCCGTCGCCGGCCTGTCCGCGGAAGAGCCGGCGACGCGCCCACCAGGGCATGCGCCTCGGCGCGGCAAATTTCACTTTTTTACCGCCCGATTCTTGCCCTCCTTTTCGAAAGTCCCAACGAGAGGCTTCCTATTTTCCACCCTTTTCGATATACCTGGGGTTTGAACCGACGAGTTACCGATACGGTTTTAACCGTTAAATACGGAAACGTATCTCACTTTTAGAGGTGACAGGCGTCTACTGTACATTTAAAAACTGTAGATAAGCGTACTTTAAGGTGATATGAAACTGGCTTCTAAGAGGTTATGACATTCGCGACCGACAAATTTTTTCCGTTTCAAATACTGAGTACCGGCGAAAATAATGAAATTCTGAAACTGTTTGCCGCAAACTTGTATCGTGTATCGTTATGGACGTGAATTCACGTCAACGGCAACCAGGTATAGAACTTGAAAAGACGTGAATTCACGTCAGCGGTCGCAAATGTGTTAATCGTTCGTGATAGTATTCTCCGAATTGGGTGCACCAATTTGTTTCAAATTTTGCCACGTGAAATGGTAACATCCACGATTCGATATAATCGCAAACATTTTTGTTGTTGGGGCGATTGTTCTTCCAGTAGGACAAAAACTTTATCGGCAATGCTGTCCTTTGTTAATAGGGTAAATTTTGTTTTTCGGTGTAACAAGTTCGGGTATTTGCCTTAGATCGTAGGTCATGGAAATTTCAAGTTAATTGAGCACTCTCCTTGGGATTTGTCGGAAAGTTTCTTCGGCGATTGACCGTGTACAAGGAAGGGATTTATCAGCCGTGGTTGGTAGTAGTCTTGTGGAAAATTTCATTCCCCGAACGAACCATGACGGCTCTAATAGACCGGTGAAAGCAAATGAAATTACCCCTCGCAGCCAACTGGAATTACCGCCAAACATTCTAATTAACGGGGAAGTAACCATATTTACCCCCTTCGGCGTTGCTCTAGCTTCTTCCCCCGCGATGACTCGCCCTAGTTTCGAGGCTTTCCTGTATTTCAAAATCACTATATACTGATAACAATTTGAAATAACAACCAACCGTGTGATACTAACTTTCTCTAAGATTTTCATGAAAACAAAGTCATCCGAAATGCACACCGTACTTTGGGGTATTGCTAGGTATTCACCTACTGGATTTTGTTATTCACACCCAAGGGTACTTTGGACGTGCACTAAAACTCCCTGAACACGGAAAAGATTTTTTCTTTTTACGGCTTTTACGTATCCCCTGAGTGCTCAAAATTCTAGTAACTTTTAGACCCCATTTTTCACCCTGCAGGGAAGTAACCGTATTTACTTTTTTCGGCTCTCCTTTGACTTGGTTCGTCTCTCCTCCATGGCGATGCTTTTTCGCACTTGTGAAACATGCCGGATTTGCAATTCAATTGGATTAGTTCCATCTGCATCGCCACGTTTTTTCTTCTTTTTTCTTTCCCCCGGAAATATCGACAGATGCGGATGTGCAGAGTGTGTAAAGAGTTCCTTAAATCCGGAACAGCGTTTCCGGTGTTAACAGTGGAAATGAAAATCATTAATGAACGGTGCACTCTGTAATCATTAATTATTCGTAAACACTGGAACTGAAGAGAAAACTTGCATAGATCTCTGGAAGAAGTGTTGTAATTTTATGACGCATTTTGAAATAAAATCTACAGCATGTTACAAAATCAATACATAAGCGTATTCACTTTCTCGGCCAATTTCCAAAAATTGTATCAGGATGCTGTAAAATTATATATAAAATCATATATTTCTCCAGGGATTTATAATGAATTTGTACTAATTGTATGTAATGTAATGTAAATGTAAAATAATGTAAAATTATATATAAAATCATATATTTCTCCAGGGATTTATTATGAATTTTTACTAATTCACTTTAGAGACGTCCATTTTATAGTCTCACTCCTGTAATGAAAATGTACGAATTGTTTGAATACTTTTAACAGTTTACAGCATGCTTTCCGTGGAGAGTTTAATCTTTGATATCTAATGTTCTAGATCAGTTGCCAGAGTAGATAGTTGATCCCTTTCTAAAACCCAATCTGGATTTCTGTCAGGAATATAAATGTACAATCACAAGGTGACGCCTTCCAAGAGTAAGTACCATGTTCGCACATGTCCAATCTACGAGATAGTTTATCGGAATCCATGCATGGAAGATTGGATACCAACTGTAAAACATGGTACCATGAGTGCTCAGAGACCTCGTCGTGCCGGAAATTTGATTTACGACTTTTGCAAAACGTCCGCCATTTTACAGAGTCGTTAAATCCCTTCAACTTGTCACAGTCCATTTGTCGAACACGATGAAATTAAATGAAATTTTGATCACCTAATTTGATTATCAAATTCCGATTTCTATTATTTTCTGTACTTTGAACATTCAAAATTCATCTACAGGAGGCCTGGAGCATAATTTGATTTTCTAATCGTGAAAAGCGTAATGAATTTTACATTAGTAAACGTGTCGTCGTTCCGTTATTAACACATTCGTGACCACTGACGTGAATTTACGTCTTGTCAAGTTCTATTCTTGGTTGCCGCTGACGTGAATTCATGCCATTTTAAATTCTATTCCTGGTTGCCGCTGACGTGAATTCACGTCATTTTAAATTCTATTCCTGATTGCCGCTGACGTGAATTCACGTCATTTTAAATTCTATTCCTGGTTTCCAATTACGTGAATTGACGTCCATGACGATACACGATACAAGTTTGAGGCAACCAGTTTCAGAATTTCATTATTTTCGTCGGTACTCAGTATTTGAAACGGAAAAGATCTGCTGGTTGCGAATGTGTTAATAAATTATACTGTTGTGTATTATATTATACTCTGGTATGCTGAAAGGTGCTGCCCTCTTTCGAACAATCATTTAACTCAAAGAATCGCATTATCGAGGATTGGAACTGTCTCATGAGATTGATCTGAAGAGATGAAGAAAAAGATTCTTACTATTGGTAAGGCAGTTTGTCGTTGTAAGTAAATTTCCACCGATGGTAACATTTCGTTGAACAATCTAATATCCGAGATGAGTTGGGAGATTGCTCACGGGCAGGATCGTGCGATCGCATCCTGTGCTGCTCTCTGGTTTCGTACGTTAGCTTTCACCGTTTTTTTTGCCCCCAAGGGCGGCGCAACAAATTTCTGATAGGAGCTCGCGCACTCGCGATGGCGGTACCATCTACCAGTCGCCGTTAGCGGCTCACGTACTCGTGATGGTAATACCATGCGGCAGTTGACGGTGGTGGCTTACCTACGCTTACCGACTCTGCTCGCTTTTGATGGTAAGGGAAGAACACTCGTGACGCTCCATTTGACTTTATCTACTTATCTACTACTATTAAGTACATTGATGCCACAAAGTCGACGAGATGCGGAGCTTTGGGGCACGCGTCGGTGTCGCGTACGGAACCCTCATGCAGCGAATCTGTGTGAGTGCGATCGCTCCTAGAAACTTAGCGCGTCCCAACCAGCCAACCGCCAAGCTACGGGTCGAGACGTTGAGTATGTGTGCGTTCGGCGCTACACTCGACGAGTATGCGTGAGAGTCGAATACTGAGAAAATCCTCCCGAGGCTTACCTAACCCCGGATATAAGCCGAGTCATTTCGTGTATGATTTTTACATTTCCCTACTAGCGTCATCAAGCGTTTTCACGCGTTTCTAGAGCGTTCTTGAATGTTTTCGAAAGTTTTCGAGCGTTATCTAGCGTAATCGAGCATTTTTCGACAGTTTTCGAACGTTTTCGAGAGTTTCTCGATCATTTTCAGAGCATTTTCGAGCGTTTTCACGCATTTTCAGAGCATTTTCGAGTGTTATCGATAGTTTTCCCGCGTTTTTCAAGTGTTTTCGAGCTTTACCAAAGGCCGTACAGTGCCGTTGAGTGTTGTTAAGTGCCGGAGAGTGCCGGACAGTTGCTGCAGAGTGCCGTAGAGTGCTGGAGAGTTGCCGCACAGTGCCGAAGAGTGTCGGAAAGTTGCCGGAGAGATGCCGCAGAGGGCCGCAGAGGGCCGCAGAGTGCCGGAGAGTGCCGGAGAGTGCCGCAGAGTGCCGGAGAGTGCCGCAGAGTTCCGCATAGGGGCGCAGAGTGCCGCAAAGGGCCGCAGAGTACCGCAGAGTGCCGGAGAGTTGACGCAGAGTGCCGGAGAGTGCCGGAGAGTGCCGCAGAGTGCCGTAGAGTGCCGGAGAGTGCCAGAAAGTTGCCGGAGAGCGCCGGAGAATGCCGCAGAGTGCTGGGGAGTGCCTTAGAGTTGCTACAGAGTGCCTTAGTGTTGCCGGAGAGTGCCGGAGAGTGCCGGAGAGCGCCGCAGAGTGCCGGAGAGTTGCCGGAGAGTGCCGGAGAATTGCCGCAGAGTGCCGGAGAGTGCCGCAGAGTGCCGCAAAGGGCCGCAGAGTACCGCAGAGTGCCGGAGAGTTGACGCAGAGTGCCGGAGAGTGCCGGAGAGTGCCGCAGAGTGCCGCAGAGTGCCGGAGAGTTGCCGCAGAGTACCGGAGAGTGCCGGAGAGTTGCCAGAGATTGCCGGAGAGTTGACGCAGAGTGCCGGAGAGTGCCGGAGAGTGCCGGAACGTTGCCGGAGAGTGCCGCACAGTTGCTGCAGAGTGCCGTAGAGTGCTGGAGAGTTGCCGCACAGTGCCGAAGA